AGCAGAGAAACAGCAGAGCTGGGGGTCACTACTGATGGGAGATCAGCCGAGCTGGCTGTACTACTGAGCAGGGGATCTGCTGCTGAATGAGGGTACTAATGAGCTGGGGATCTGCTGAGCAGGGGTACTAATAAGCTGGGGATCTGCTGAATTAAAGTACTAATGAGCCGAGGATCTGCTGAGCAGGGGTAATAATGAGCTGGGGATCTGCTGAATGAAAGAACTAATGAACTGGGGATCTGCTGAGCAAGGGTACTAATGAGCTGGGGATCTGCTGAGCATGGATCTGCTGAGAAGGAGTACTAATGAGCTGGGGATCTGCTGAATGAAAGTACTAATGAGCTGGGGATCTGCTGAGCATGCGTACTAATGAGCTGGGGATGCTGAGCAGGGTTACTAATGAGCCGGGGATCTGCTGAGCAGGGGTACTAATGAGCTGGGGATCTGTTGAGAAGGGGTACTAATGAGCTGGGGATCTGCTGAGCAGGGGTACTAATGAGCTGGGGATCTGCTGAGCAGGGGTACTAATGAGCTGGAGATCTGATGAATGGGAGTACTAATGAGCTGGGGATGTGCTGAGGAAATTACTGAGCTTGAGGTACTACTGAGCTGGGGTTCTACTGAGCCCCTTTAAAAAAAATACAAAATCAATACACACACTATTTATTTTATAAATCTCCAAAAAAACATCAAAAATAAACCACAAATGCACACTGAAGCAGTAGAAATTTTAATGTATGTTAAAATCAAAGCAAAGCTAAACAAACCCGATTTGGTGGTCATTTTTGATGTAGTACAACCCATAGCAAGAATGAAAAAAAAAAAAAAAAAAGAGTTCCCCCTCAAAATGCATACCAGACCCTTTATCTGAGCAAGCAGCCTGACTGGCCGGGTGGGACCCTGTTGCAAAGCACCATGTCCTCATGTTGAACCTCTTCTCCACAACCCTTTGTGTTTTCTAATGTCTTTTTCAGAGTTTCCTCCCAGTGTCCTTGGTGTCACCATGATCCGTTGGCTCGTCCTCCTCTCGGTTCTCTGGGCAGCTGAAAATGCTCTAGGTGAGCGCTCAGTAGTCTTACATTATGTTGTAGAGATGTGATGTAATACGCTGTCCTATGGTTTGTGTACTGGTTAAAGTGTTTGCAAACCTCTGAAATAAAAAATGAGCAAAACATACCCCTCTAGGGTGTGTACTATCCTCAATCAAAAGCACTTAGTGTGCTTCCTATCTAATCTCTCCCCCTCTGCTATCTGCATGATTCACTTCTGACATGTAATGCCAACACTGCTGAGTTCTGGGAGACGGTCCCACCACCCTCCAGCACACAGAAAGTGATTGCTTTCCTATGAGACTGTGAGAGGGGTTGGTCATTCCCTCCACTCGGGTCTCAGATTACACCCAGCTCCCTGCTCTAGAGAGTGATCCCCGCCCCTGCATTTTGGAGCTGAGGGAAAGCCTTTGATCTTTGTGTTTTAGGAAGCTATAGAGGAGAGAGGGCTGCAGATAAGCAGGTACAACTTATATAGGAGGATATGTTTTATCTCTATGTATCGCTTGAGGCCAGTCACTTCACTGGGGATAGGGAAGGGTTTACAAGCACTTTAAGGGAGTTGGAGTGCCACACCAAATCGCAAGGATCTCCAAATGGTTTATTGATTTGTCAATAGAGAGTACTCAGCAAATATAAAAACCAGTGTGTTTTGACCCTCCATGGGCCCCCCTTCATTGGGGCTCTGCAGGGAAGCAGACTCATGGACTGACATTTTTAGAAATACTTTGTATACAGTTAAAAACAAGCCTCTGCAGCTTCTTCAAGCAACTTAAAGTGGAGTTCCAGACCCATCTCCCTGCTGCCATTTTCATCCAAACTCCTTGAGCGCCTAGCCTGTAATCGCCTAAGCTCCCACCTCACCGACAACAACCACCTTGATCCCCTACAGTCTGGCTTCCGTCCCCCACACTCCACCGAAACCGCCCTACTCAAAGTCATCAATGACCTGCTAACCGCCAAAGCCAATGGCCACTACTCGGTGCTACTACTTCTCAACCTCTCCGCGGCTTTTGACACGGTCGACCACCCCCTCCTCCTCAAAAAACTGTTGTAAAAGGGAACTCTGCGGACCCTGATGATGTAAAAAGGAACGACGACCAACAAGCCACCATCTGCGGAACTCTGCGGACCCTGATGTAAAAGGGAACTCTGCAGACCCTAGATATAAAAAGGAACTCAGCGGTCCCTAGATGTAAAAGGGAACTCTGCGGACCCTAGACGTAAAAGGGAACTCTGCGCACCCTGATGTAAAAGGGAACTCTGCGCACCCTGATGTAAAAGGGAACTCTGCGGACCCTAGATGTAAAAGGGAACTCTGCGGACCCTAGATGTAAGGGGGAATGTTGTGACTCACTGTGGCACACACTGACCTTGCCTGCAGGCTTTCGTCCTCCTCTCCTCCACATCCCCTCCTTGCAGATGCTTTCTATTTTGCTGTAAAGGTGACATCACCGGGCACCTGACCAGTGCCCCCACCGCTATGGCCTATCTCTCCAGAGTCCAAGCCAGACTTAGCTGATTACTAATCGGCCGGCTCCAGATCTGCGTGTGTGTAGTGCAGAGCTGTCCAATGCCACCGCGCACCTGACCTGACCTGCTCATCCCCCTGATATAAGTGCTGTTCTTTTGAACCCCTTACATGCACCCTTTTTGTAGGAACTTCACACCAGGCATTTTACAACTCTGAGCAAAGCCGTAACTAGAATCTTCAGGGCCTTGGTGCAAAAAACCATGAAGGGTCCCACTGACCCGAGCCCTGGGCCCTCTACTACTGTCTCAGGGCCCTGTATAATGGGGGACCATTTCACATGTTCTGCAGTAGGCCCCCTTCCTGACCTTACATTGTAATCCGCCTTACATCAAAGTTCCCAGAGCCCTCTTTACAGTACATCAGAATCTGCAGAGTTTTGCTTACAGTGCAAGGGGGAACTCTATGAACCCTGATGTAAAAGGGAACTCTCTGCGGACCCTGATGTAAAGGGGAACTTTGCGGACCCTGATGTAAAAGGGAACTCTGCGGACCCTGATGTAAAAGGGAACTCTGCAGACCCTGATGTAAAAAGGGAACTCTGCAGACCCTGATGTAAAAGGGAACTCTGCAGACCCTGATGTAAAAGGGAACTCTGCGGACCCTAGATGTAAGGGGAAATGTTGTGACTGACTGTGTCCCACACTGACCTTGCCTGCAGGCTGTTGTCCTCCTCTCCCCCACGCCCCCTCCTTGCAGATGCTTTGAATTTTGCTGTAAAGGTGATGCCACCGGACAGCCTGACTAGTGCTCCACCGCTAAAGCCTATCTCTGTAGAGCCCAAGTCAAGCTTAGCCGATTACTAATCAGCCAGCTCCAGAACTGCGTGTACGCACTGCGAAGCTGTCCGATGCCAGCAGGCACCTGACCAATGGCCCACAACCCCCTAATCACACCCCCCCCCCCCCCGTTCAAGTCAAACTCTGCTGAGCCAGAGCTGAATTCAGCCGATTACTAATTGAGTGGGGAAGTCTGCAAGGAGGAGGTACAGGAAGGTGAAGAGGACATCAGAAACAGGCACTTTTCTGCTTTTTATGAACAGTAGAGAAGTGCTCTTTTTAACTGAAAACACTTCTTGGGGCCCCCTCCACAGTGGCGGAACACCAGGACCTGGCTGAAAATGCGACCATTGCGACCCCGGTAGTTCCACAACTGATTCTGACAACTTCTTGAAGGTACAGAATGATTATGAGACAGTCCCTTATAGATTCCACCATACACAGCTCTAGTTCATCCTAGCTCAGGCTGCCAATTCATACCGCTCAAATAGGAAGGAATAGTCCCTTCAGTAAGGTCCATGATCTGACTTTCTGTACCCCGATTGGGTACCCCAAAAGGGATGCCACGTGCTTACTGTAGAACTACATTCTGTTGCATTCCTTCCTGTCTGATCCCATGAGGAAGGTCAAGAGAGGGACCTTGATAGGCTGCCTCTCCTTGTATTCATAGCCCACTACAAATGGGCAGAGCTACGAAAGCCTGAGAGTTAGAAGTCTTAACCTCTTTGTAACTCCCTTCGCAGCCTGCTACAGGAACTCACTGGACATAGGTTACTGCTAACACAGTTCAACCCAATAATATGAGCTAATGTGTACCCCTACAGTAGACACCTGCCTACACACAGTGGTGGTAGTGCCCACCGAACACATCTGGGGGGAAGCAAAGCATTTCGGCTGCAGCATGGGTACAACCCATAATGTCCATGAGCATGAAGCCTCATCCTTTCGGTGCTTCGCATTTTTTTTACTATAACAGTTATTTCAGGAACATTGTGTTAACTAGATCTGGTATATGATGGTATATTTTCAATTGTATATTTTATCACCAACATGAGCTTTAGAACTTTTCTGTACTATTTTTGCAGGATGCCCACCTATTGTACCCCGCTCCCAGTGGGGTGCTAGGAAGAGCACGTGCAAGGCGAGGTTTCCAAGTATTCCATTACCGGGCGCTATCATCCACCACAGTGCCGGAGCTTTCTGTAACAACCGAAAGTCATGCTATGCCCAAGTGAGGAGCCTACAGAACTTTCACATGAACACCAACAAATGGTGTGACATTGGATACAAGTAAGAACCAAATACGGGTCAATTCCATTGAAGAAGATATCTACATTTAAGGGCACCTAAACCGTAGAACAAGAAAATGTAATGTTTTGCACCTTACCCATCATTAGGTGTGGTGGTTGCATACTTTTTCTTTTTTGTGATCTTTGTATCTTTTCTTTTCACCTGGTGATCCTGTCAGTAATAGACTCAATGTCCTATGATGACCATGTCTATTTACGGTACTGTATCTATTGAAGAGCAACATTGTCATCGGAGGACAGAAAGTGTGTTAGGACTACACAATAATTCCCTGTATTAGGCTTCTAGAGTATTGTTTTGATAACCGAACACCTTTCACTAATTCTTATACAGCTTCCTCATTGGAGAGGATGGGACCATATATGAAGGTCGAGGTTGGTCAACTGTCGGAGCTCATGCGAAAAATTTTAACAGTTACAACATTGGTATCTGCTTTATCGGAACTTTTACAAGTAAGTGATGGTGCAGAACATCATTAGGGGACCAAAGGGCTAGCTCCAGTGGGCTGTCCTTTTAAATAGCTACAAATGGGTTTGGCTATATGCATGTTTGGTTGAGTTAGAAGGGGTACTCTGTCCCACAGACCAGAACTATAAGGGGGGTATTCTCCTTACTGATCGACAATGGTGCATTTTTCCCATTGTTTCCTCATGAACTGGTCCATTAATAGCCCTTGTTGGTGCCTGTTAGTGAGGGGGGCAATGGGGCAGACCTGCATATCTCCTCAGCTTTTCCCTTTTTGGTCCCCTTACTTACTGGCCTCTTCCAGCACAATGTGATTATATTATGCAGTTTAATCACATTGCCAGCCAATGTGCTTAGACACAAATCTGGTGCATGGCTGGTAGATAATATGTCAGCTGAATAAACAATTCTGTCTGCTTGTAGGGAAGAGCGATCCTTTCCAGGTTGGATTCATGAAAAGCTTTTTGAAATCTTGCTGTTTGTTGCCAGACATTGTCAACTAAGGGTTTTGTGGATCCCTAGGGTTCCTCCAGAGGTTGCTAGGGGCTCCTATTTGATGGCTGCTTAGTTTGACATCCAGTGCCACTTGGGAGAGGCAGCAGCATGATACCGTTGATCTTTTAAAATGGTTGTAAGGATAGCTTCCAGATGACCACTGTAAAGAGGACATTCTCAACACTAACCACCAATGCATGGAGCATTCTTCTCACTGACCACCAATGCAAGGAGCATTCTTCTCACTGACCACCAATGTAAGGAACATTCTTCTCACTGACCACCAATGAAAGGGGAATTCTTCCCACTGACCACCAATGCAAGGAGCAGTCTTCCCACTGACCACCAATATAAGGAGCATTCTTCCCACTGACCCCCAATGTAAGGGGCATTCTTGCCGCTAACCCCCAATGTAAAGGGCATTCTTCCCGCTGACCCCCAATTCTAAGGAGTATTCTTCTCACTGACCTCCAATGTAAGGAGCATTCTTCTCACTGACCTCCAATGTAAGGAGCATTCTTCTCACTGACCTCCAATGTAAGGAACATTCTTCTCACAATGTAAGGAGCTTTCTTCCCACTGGCCACCAATGTAAGGAGCATTCTTCCCACTAGACACCAATGTAAGGAGCATTCTTCCCACTGGCCACCAATGTAAGGAGCATTCTTCCCACTAGACACCAATGTAAGGAGCATTCTTCCCACTGATCACCAATGCAAGGAGCATTCTTCCCACTGATCACCAATACAAGTAGTATTCTTCTCACTGACCCACAATGTAAGAAGCATTCTTCCCACTGACCCCCAATGTTAGGAGCATTCTTCCCACTGGCCACCAATGTATTAATATTATTATACAGTATTTATAAAGCGCCAATAGTTCGCTCAGCAAATGTATGGAGCATTCTTCCCACTGACCCTCAATGTAAGGAACATTCTTTTCACAATGTAAGGAGCTTTCTTCCCACTGACCCCCAATGTAAGGAGCATTCTTCCCACTGACTCCCAATGTAAGGAGCATTCTTCCCACTGACCCCCAATGTAAGGAGCATTCTTCCCACTGACCCCCAATGTAAGGAGCATTCTTCCCACTGACCCCCAATGTAGGGAGCATTGTTCCCACTGACCCCCAATGTAAGGAGCATTTTTCCCACTGACCCCCAATGCAAGGAGTATTCTTCTCACTGACCACCAACGTAAGGGACATTCTTCCCACTGACCACCACTCTATAGGGGGCATTTTCCTTACTGACCACCAAAGTAAGGTGCATTTTTCCCACTGCTCCCTCATGAACTGGTCTTAGAAAGGGTTCCCCTAGAACTGAAATTTAATTTATGCGTTCCTCCAGGGTAAAAAAAAAAAAAAAAAGGTTGAGAAAGGGTGTTTCTAGTAATTTGTGGGTTTAATAGGCACGCTGCGGTCAAACAAAATACATGAAAAGACAAGCACTGCCATGGGAGATATGTACCAATGACAAAATTAAGAGGGAATATTACCCAAAAAACAAAAAATGAATAAATTGCAGATTACCAATCCTTAGATGTGGAGTTTCTCAACCAGGGTTCCTACAGGGGTTGCTTGAGCAATGAGCAATATCCGCCTCTGAGATAGGTTCCCACTGACACCATTGATCTTTTTAGCTAGCTATAAGGGCGTAATTCTTCTCAATGACCACAAGTGTAAGGAGTATTCTTCCCATCGACCATCACACCAATGTACATGGAGCTGTAGATACAGTTATTTTTATCTGGGGTTGCCTGAGACCAAAAAGTAATTTCAAGGGTTCCTCTGTGTTGAAAAGGTTGAGAAAGGCTGCTTTAGAGGCTCCAGAAACAAAAAAAAAAATAATAAATGCACTTTTTTTTTTTACCTGCATTGTATTTCTATCCTTGCCAGGGAAAGATGTAAACAAACAAAAGTGTGTAAAAAATAATGTAAAAAAAAAAGCGAGATCAAGGCTTGATCTAGGTCAGTGGTCTCCAAACTGTGGCCCGGGGGCCGGATGCTGGCTCTTTGCTTGCTTTTATCCGGCCCTTGGGGCATCATTCCCCCCACCATCAGCAGCAGTAGGGCATAGTTCCCGCCAATGATGACAACAATGGGACTCTATTCCTTCCACTGACACCAATGATGGGGCACTATTCCTCCCACTGACACCAATGATGGGGCACTATTCCTTCCACTGACAACAATGATGGGGCATTATTCCTCCCACTGACACCAATGATGGGACACTATTCCTCCCCCTGACACCAATGACACCTCCCCCTGACACCAATGATGGGGCACTATTCCTCCCACTGACACCAATGATGGGGCACTATTCCTTCCACTAACAACAATGATGGGACACTATTCCTCCCCCTGGCACCAATGATGGGGCACTATTCCTCCCCTGACTTCAATGATGGGGCACTATTCTTCCCACTGACATCAATGATGGGGAACTATTCCTCCCACTGACACCAATGATGGGGCACTTTTCCTTCCACTGACACCAATGATGGGGCATTATTCCTCCCACTGACACCAATGATGGGGCACTATTCCTCCCACTGACACCAACGATGGGACACTATTCCTTCAACTGGCACCAATGATGTGGTACTAGTCCTCCTACTGACACCAATGATGGGGCAACATTCCTCCTGCTGACAACAACGATGGGACACTATTCCTCCCACTGATACCAATGATGGAGCACTATTCCTCCCACTGACACCAATGATGGGGCACTATTCCTCCCATTGACACCAATGATGGGGCACTATTCCTCCCACTGATACCAATGATGGTGCACTATTCCTCCCATTGATACCAATGATGGGGCACTATTCCCCCCATTGATACCAATGATGGGGCACTATTCCTCCCACTGATACCAATGATGGGACACTATTCCTCCCACTGACACCAATGATGGGGCACTATTCCTCCCTCTGATACCAATGATGGGACACTATTCCTCCCACTGATACCAATGATGGGGCACTATTCCTCCCACTGACACCAATGATGGAGCACTATTCCTCCCACTGACACTAATGATGGGGCACTATTCCTCCCACTGATACCAATGATGGGGCACTATTCCTCCCACTGATACCAATGATGGGGCACTATTCCTCCCACTGATACCAATGATGGGGCACTATTCCTCCCACTGACAGCAACAATGGGAAACTATTCCTCCCATTAATACCAATGATGGAGCATTCTTTACTCTCACTGATGTCAGGACATTTTCTTCTCTCACTGGCCACAGTCCGCTCCCCCTAAAGTCTGAAGGACAGTACACTGGTCCTTCATTTATAAAGTTTTGAGACCCCTGATCTAGGTAAATGTCAGCAAAGTGCACCTTCGCCTCTGTAGACCCTGTAAGTAATTGTGATGATATGCGCAGTTTTACTAACATGTCAAAGTTGCAAAATTGTATTCAGGCTTTAAGATTTGTTTTACCCTCCATCAAGAAAAGAAGACTTTTGATACCCTCCACCCCAATCCCAATATGTTGTCAACTGATAAAGGTTTTCAGACACTCACCTACCTACACTCCAGGCTGACAGCCAAACAACTCCTAAATGCAGCTCCTGCCTGTTGGTGTCAGCCATGTGACCCCCTGGCTATCGCTCTCTGTTGTAAGACCCACATCTGGAAAATGTCCGGAGAATTGGTATTTGAGTTTGGTAAAATGCTTATCAGCAGAAATGTTAGGTTAGTCACATGGGCAAGTGGTGCCATTAAAAAATGACTCTGGGATTGGAGATGGGGCAAATGGGGCATTATTCCTCCCACTGACACCAATGATGGGGCATTATTTCTCCCACTGATACCAATGATAGGGCACTATGCCTCCCACTGACACCAGCGATGGGGCACTATTCCTCCCACCGATACCAATGATATGGAACTATTCCTCCTACTGACACTAATGATAGGACACTATTCCTTCCACTGACACCAATGATGGGGCACTATTCCTCCTACTGACACTAATGATGGGGCACTATTCCTCCCACTGACACCAATGATGGGGAACTATTCCCCCCACTAACACCAATGATGGAGCACTATTCCTCCCACTGACACCAATGATGGGGCACTATTCCTCCCACTGACACCAATGATGGGGCACTATTCCTCCCACTGACACCAATGATGGGGCACTATTCCTCCAACTGACACCAATGATGGCGCACTATTCCTCCCACTGACATCAATGATGGGGCACTATTCCTCCAACTGACACCAATGATGGCGCACTATTCCTCCCACTGACATCAATGATGGGGCACTATTCCTCCCACTGACACCAATGATGGGGCACTATTCTTCCACTGACATCAATGATGGGGAACTATTCCTCCCACTGACACCAATGATGGGGAACTATTCCTCCCACTGACACCAATGATGGGGAACTATTCCTCCCACTGACACCAATGATGGGGCACTACACTCTGGGGCTGACAGCCAAACAACTGCTGAATGCAGCTCATGCTTGATGGGTGTCAGCTAAGTGACCCCCTGGCTACGGCTCTCTGTTGTAAGACCCACATCTGGAAAACGTCTGGAGAATTGGTATTTGAGTTGGTAAAATGCTTATCAGCAGAAATGTTAGGTTAGTCACATGGGCAAGCGGTGCCATTAAAAATGTTGACTTGCAGTAAGGCTTTCCTTTTTTTTTTTGAGTGACCTTGCATACAATACAAGGCTGCCAAAACTGGTATCAAACCCCAAACAGAAAAAAGTAATACAGTATATTGCAGATTACCAATCCTTAGATCTGATGGCTGCATTAGTTTTATTTTCTTGTGCTTTTTATTTGATCTGGCCAGTAACACTCCTGTATTAGAGCGCCCCCACTCCGGATGAAGGAGCACAGGGGGCATAGCAGCATTGTCAGTCCTGGGGGGGGGGGGGAGTGTTACATGTACTAGCAGATTTATATACACTAACAAACTGAAGCCAAACTCCAGCTCACACTTTATAATTATTATTATTATACAGTATTTATAAAGCGCCAATAGTTCGCTCAGCGCTGTACATTACAAAGGGGGACAGAACATGTGACAGAACAATACCAATACAATGCAAAACATGAGGGGATCGAGGGCCCTGCTCTTTCAAGTTTACAATCTAGGAGTGAGGGGATGGTGGCACAGGAGGAGATAGCTGTGGGGGATGGAGTGGTAGGAAGAGTGGAGGTCGTCGGCAAGTTAGCAGGGGGGTGGGGTAGGCTTCCCTGAAGAGATGGGTTTTCAGGGTGCGCCTAAAGGAGAGGAGAGTAGGTGATAATCTGATGGGTTGGGGCAGGGAGTTCCAGAGGATGGGTGACACCCTGGAGAAGTCCTGGAGGCGGGCATGGGAGGAGGAGACCAGGGAACTAGAGAGAAGGAGGTCTTGTGAGGAGCTGAGTGTGCGTGTTGGGGGGTACTTGGATATTAGGTCAGTGATGTAGTTCGGGGCAGTATGGTGGACAGCTTTGTACGTCAGTGTTAGGATTTTGAATTTGATCCGTTGCGCAATCGGAAGCCAGTGGAGGGATTGGCAGAGGGGGGTGGCGGAGACGGAGCGGTTGGAAAGGTGAATGAGTCTGGCAGCCGTATTCAGGATGGACTGAAGCGGAGATAGCCAGCGGCGAGGCAGGCCAGTGAGGAGGGAGTTGCAGTAGTCGAGTCGTGATATGATGAGGGAGTGGATGAGCTGTTTAGTGGTTTCTGGGGTTAGTAATGGGCGGATTTTGGCGATGTTGCGGAGGTGGAGTCTGCATGAGTTTGTTAAAGATTGGACTTGGGGCTGGAAGGATAGGTTGGAGTCCAGAATGACACCAAGTACTCTGGCCTGCGGGGCGGGTTTGATGGTGGCGTTGTTGGATGTGATGGAGAAGTCAATGGGGGGTGGTGTTCGGGCTGGGGGGAAGACAAGAAACTCGGTTTTGGAGAGGTTCAGTTTAAGGAAGTGGAGCGACATCCAGTCTGATATGTTAATATGCAAAATCTACTTGTGCTCTTATGCAGAAAAAACAATAAATAAACGTGTGAAGCTGCTAACATCTGATCCAATACCCAAAGATCTGATGAAATATAGAAAAAATAGAAATGATGTAGCGCTAAACCCAAAACGATCGTATCAGGCCCATAGACAATCTGCCATCATGATAAGATCATATATATATATAGAAAGGGCAAATAAGTGCGTGATGAAATTGAAAAAAATGAGATGAAACAGATGTGCAACCCCTGCACACAGTGCACATAAATAAATAAAAGTCCAGTGATCCTGTGTCAATTGCCTCCACTCATACAGAATCCATGGACTGTGTGTGGACCCGCACACCACCAAGTGCAATCCAAAAACGGCTGGAATGGCCTCTCACCTCCTCCCTGCGACCCTGCAGGGCCACAGAGCTTTATAAATCCCCACTGAGTCAGGATAAGCTTCCTCTTGAGTGGATGGCTTCAATGATGTATCCCCAGTATACTGCTTCCACCTCTCCTATGATATCCTCAGAGGTCAACTGAGCAGGGTGGATCCCAGCTCAAACCCCAATAGGACAAAGGAAGCAGAAGACATCCTCCATAGTGTAAAGGACTGAGGAAGTCACGAGGTCACGTGACGCAACGCGTCGACGGCAATACGTGGTGACGCACTTCCGGCGCGGCGCCATCTTGGAACACCCTTCAGCCACACGCTTACACCCATGGTATGGGAATCGGCTCTAATTTCATCTGGCGAATGTGAGTGTATACAAGTATTTCATTTTATTTAATTAAAACTATTTTACACTATGGAGGATGTCTTCTGCTTCCTTTGTCCTATTGGGGTTTGAGCTGGGATCCACCCTGCTCAGTTGACCTCTGAGGATATCATAGGAGAGGTGGAAGCAGTATACTGGGGATACATCATTGAAGCCATCCACTCAAGAGGAAGCTTATCCTGACTCAGTGGGGATTTATAAAGCTCTGTGGCCCTGCAGGGTCGCAGGGAGGAGGTGAGAGGCCATTCCAGCCGTTTTTGGATTGCACTTGGTGGTGTGCGGGTCCACACACAGTCCATGGATTCTGTATGAGTGGAGGCAATTGACACAGGATCACTGGACTTTTATTTATTTATGTGCACTGTGTGCAGGGGTTGCACATCTGTTTCATCTCATTTTTTTCAGTTTCATCACGCACTTATTTGCCCTTTCTATATATATATATGATCTTATGATGATGGCAGATTGTCTATGGGCCTGATACGATCGTTTTGGGTTTAGCGCTACATCATTTCTATTTTTCAGTCTGATATGTCGCTCAGTAGGTGTGTGATTCGGGCAGAGACCGAGGGGGTGAGGTGGGGGGTTGAGAGATAGATTTGTGTGTCGTCGGCATAGAGGCGGTAGTTGAAGCCGTGAGAGTGTATGAGTTGGCCAAGGGAGGAGGTGTAGATGGAGAAGAGAAGGGGCCCGAGGACAGAGCCTTGAGGGACCCCAACAGAGAGGGGGAGTGAGAGGGAGGTGGTAGCATTATAGGTAACGCTGAAAGAGCGTTGTAACAGGTAGGATGAGAGCCAGGAGAGAGCAGAATCTCTTAAGCCGAGGGAGTGTAGTTTTTTGAGGTGGAGGGGGTGGTCGACTGTGTCGAAGGCCGCAGAGAGGTCAAGGAGTAGGAGCACTGAATAGTGGCCATTAGCTTTGGTGGTTAGCAGGTCGTTGGAGAGTTTGAGTAAGGCAGTTTCAGTGGAGTGTAGGGGACGGAAGCCAGACTGTAGGGGATCGAGGAGGTTGTTGTCGTTGAGGTGAGAGCTTAGGCGGGTGTAGACTAGGCACTCGAGGAGTTTAGATGTAAATGGGAGCAGGGAGATGGGTCTGAGATTGTTCGGGTCATTGGGGTCTAGGGAGGGCTTTTTAAGTATGGGGGTGATGTGTGCATGTTTCAGAGGGGAGGGGAAAGTGCCGGAGGAGAGGGAGAGATTGAAGATGTGGGTGAGGGAGCATAGGATGGAGGGGGAGGGAGGTCGTAGGAGTTGTGAGGGGATAGGGTCGAGGGGGCAGGTGGTGAGGCGGGCATCAGAGAGGATCTTGGAGACTTCCTCGATGGCAGTAAGATCACAATAGCAGTTACAGCAGTTTTGTTTTTTGTTTTTTTTCTGGGCGGGGATAAAGGTTTTACATGAAAAAATAAAAGCTGATCATTGTCAGCATCCCTGCCAGTGTTAAGTGGTTTGTCTCATCCATGTAGATTGATACATTCTGCTGAAGAGCTTGGGTTTTTAAAAAACAAACAAGACTTACTGGCCAGATCACCAGACGAAAATAAAAGAAAGCCTAAAAAAAAGAAAACTAATGCAGTCATCACATCTAAGAGTTAACAAGCAGCAATACAATAAAAGAAATGTTTGCTTTTGGGTTTAATACCCTTTTATCAGATATACCCAAATTCTGTATAAATAAAAAAAAAAGCAGAGTAGGACTGAGTTGTATCTTAAGGGAATGACTTTTACAACAAGCCAACAAACTTTTTTTAAGGTATAAAATTCTCGAAAATTGTAATTTCTTTGTTTCCTCCACTAAAGCTGTCAATTCATTTTCATTACCATATTTTTTTCCTCTTTGCAGATCGTGCCCCGAACAGAGCAGCCCTGACTGCTGCCAAAAATCTTCTCAGTTGTGGGGTGGCCAGAAACTCCATCACAAGAAATTATAGACTGCGGGGTCACCGAAACGTCAATCCAACCTCCTGTCCCGGAAATGGCCTCTACAATGTCATTAAAGGGTGGCCTCACTTTAAAGCCTGAGATGGATCAACGATACGCTCTGTGCTTAGTGTACAATCCTGGCACTCAATTTGCCCCCCAAAAATGCAATAAAGCTTTTAGCCGAGAAATAGAAACCAAGATAATACTCATCAAACCTGCATGTATGTAACTGAAGGTTATTAACATCACGATGGGTCCATACTCACATCACTGCTTTGCTTTCACTTAGCAAGCAAAAAAAGACAAAAAAAAAAATTAAAAAAACTTTTGCATTTTATGTGTTTTTCTTATTTTAAAGTGATACTAAACCCCGGACCCAGCATTCACTATACCCCGTCTCCCCGGACCCTGCATTCACTATATCCGGCCTCCCCGGACCCTGCATTCACTATATCCGCTCTCCCAGGACCCTGCATTCACTATATCCGGTCTCCCCGGACCCTGCATTCACTATATCCGGTCTCCCCGGACCCTGCATTTACTATATCCGCTCTCCCCGGACCTGCATTCACTATATCTGGTCTCCCCGGATCCCTGCACTTACTATATCCGCTCTCCCCGGACCCTGCATTCACTATATCTGGTCTCCCCGGACCCTGCATACACTATATCCGCTCTCCCCGGACCCTGCATTCACTATATCCGCTCCCTCCGGACCCTGCATTCACTATATCCGCTCTCCCCGGACCCTGCATTCACTATATCCGCTCTCCCCGGACCCTGCATTCACTATATCCGCTCCCTCCGGACCCTGTATTCACTATATCTGGTCTCCCTGGACCCTGCATTCACTATATCTGCTCTCCCCGGACCCCGCATTCACTATATCTGCTCTCCCTGGACCCTGCATTCACTATATCTGGTCTCCCCGGATCCTGCATTCACTATATCCGCTCTCTTGGACCCTGCATTCACTATATCCGGTCTCCCCGGACCCTGCATTCACTATATCCGCTCTTCCCGGACCCTGCATTCACTATATCCGCTCTCCCCCGGACCCTGCATTCACTATATCTGGTCTCCCGGACCCTGCATTCACTATATCCGGTCTCCCCGGACCCTGCATTCACTATATCCGCTCTCCCCGAACCCCGCATTCACTATATCCGCTCTCCCCGGACCCCGCATTCACTATATCCACTCTCCCCGGACCCTGCATTCACTATATCCACTCTCCCCCGGACCCTGCATTCACTATATCCGGTCTCCCCTGGACCCCGCATTCACTATATCCACTCTCCCCTGGACCCTGCATTCACTATATCCGGTCTCCCCTGGACCCCGCATTCACTATATCCACTCTCCCCTGGACCCCGCATTCACTATATCCGGTCTCCCCGGACCCTGCATTCACTATATCCGCTCTCCCGGACCCTGCATTCACTATATCTGGTCTCCCCGGACCCTGCATTCACTATATTCGGTCTCTCATAGTACACAGACCATGGGAGTGCAATTATTTTAGTACATAAAAACTGCTAAATACCTTTTCTCATCAGCAGTTAGAGTGAGAGCAGTCTTGCGACTTCTATCAGTGTCCAACTGAGCACTAGCTAAAGCTTGTAGGAGGAGTTTTCTTTCTGCTCTAGGAGGATGCAAATCCCCTGACCTCTGTCCGGACAGTGCTGATTGGTCCTGTGCTGATCACATGCACTCTACCTAGAAAAAAAAAAAAAAAAGCCTCTCTAGCAATAAACACCAAACGGAGCATGTGCATGCCTACGGTTCAGTCTGGAGATAAGTGGTGGTCACTTGAAAAAGGGGAGGAACAGAGAAGACAGGATCAAGTAGCCTTTTTTTTTTTACAATGTGGAGGATTAACCCCTTAGGTCCCACAGTGAGTATAACAAGCATGCTTTCCTGCATATACAGACTGATTGTACTGTTGTGGTTTTTTAAGGTTACACTTGGTTCAAAATACTTTTATATATAGCGGGTAAAATAAGTATTGAACACGTCACCATTTTTCTCTTTAAATATATTTCTAAAGGTGCAATTGACGTGAAAATTTTCATCACATCGGTAACAACCCTTGCAATCCAGACATACAAAGAAACCAAGTTCAGAAATTAAGTTATGTGTAATAAAATGGAATGACACAGGAAAAAAGTATCAAACACATGAAGAAAGGGAGGTGCAAAAAAGGCATGAAAATCCAAGACACCAGCTGAAATCTATCAGTAATTAGAAAGCAATCCTGCCCCTTGTCAGTGCAAATTAATATCAGCTGGTTCAGCCTCAACTGATAGCTTATAAAAAGGTGTCTCATTAGCAAGGTGTCACACAAGAAGCATCTCACGATGGGTAAAAGCAAAGCACTCTCTCAAGACCTGCACAGCCTGATTGTTGCAAAACACATACCGATGGCATTGGTTACAGAAGGATTTCTAAACTTCTCAATGTTCCAGTGAGCACTGTTGGGGCCATAATCCGGACGTGGAAAGAACATCATTTCACCATAAACCGGCTAGGACCAGGTGCTCCTCGCAAGCTTTTTTTATTTATTTAAATATTTATTAATTTTCAGCCAAATAAATTATACATTTCTCATACTTTAAAAACGAAAATGACATTGACACACTTATAGTACCACTATCACTTTGCTTTAAATTATACTTATATTTATTTTTTCCTACCCTCCCTGATCTCCCCCCCCCCCATTACACTTTGCATTTTCCTTATCTTCCTGGGACCCCACTTCCTCCAAAATAAAGAGATAGGTATTGTTCTACATTTTACATTATGCCCCCCTATATTCCACATTAATTTTGATTTTTAATATTTTTAAATTCTTCCCATCCATTACATCTTACATAATATCTCTCCATCCTATCTTCATACATATGACAAAGTTTTTCCATCTTACATGTCTGGTTCACTCGGTCGACCCAATCTGCTACCTCTGGTACCTCTCTTCTCCTCCAAAACTTAGGTATCAAACCCTTTGCTGCATTCATATAATACCATACACCAGATTCTTTATATTTGTTAACTGACATCTCTGTACCATAAAATAGGCAAGTCTCTGGATCTAATATCAACTTCAGTAATTTTCTGGATCAGGTGCACTATTTTCTCCCAAAATTCCTGTATTTTTGGACACTCCCACCATATATGATACATTGTACCTCTAAATCCACCTCCCCTCCAACACATTGGTGAATTCTCTTCATTTAACCTAGGTGCCACACTTGGTGTAATATACCATCTTCCCAATAATTTATAGTTCATTTCTACTTCCCGCATATTTATATTTTCATGAATCAATCTATACATTTTCTTCTGTTTTCCCTCATTTATTATTACACCCATGTCCCTTTCCCATTTTTCTATATAAGGTGGCCTAACATCCGTGTCTATTTCAGTGAGAGAGAATACTATATATTTTAGCAATTCCGTGTCTCCCATCTCCCCGTGTTTCCAACAATCGCTCAAAGGGGTTCCAATCCTTTCTAGTTCTCAAGGGTTTCAGAAGCTTCCCAACAAAGTGTTTCAATTGATTATACCGCCACTCATCCATTCTTGTGAAAACTTCTCCCTTTTTCTTTTCCAACTCCTTAAAAGAACCCATTTCCTCGCCCACCACTACATCTCTTAACTGTGCATCCTCCTTCTGTGTGTGTGTTTATTCCCTCATTATCCCAATTACAATGAGCAGATAAAAGGTCCAGAGTTCATTTCAAGTGTGCTATTTGCATTTGGAATCTGTTGCTGTCAACTCTCAAGATGAGATCCAAAGAGCTGTCACTATCAGTGAAGCAAGCCATCATTAGGCTGAAAAAACAAAACAAACCCATCAGAGAGATAGCAAAAACTTTAGGCGTGGCCAAAACAACTGGAACATTCTTAAAAAGAAGGAACGCACCGGTGAGCTCAGCAACACCAAAAGACCCGAAAGACCATGGAAAACAACTGTGGTGGATGACCGAAGAATTCTTTTCCCTGGTGAAGAAAAACACCCTTCACAACAGTTGGCCAGATCAAGAACACTCTCCAGGAGGTAGGTGTATGTGTGTCAAAGTCACCAATCAAGAGAAGACTTCACCAGAGTGAATACAGAGGGTTCACCACAAGATGGAAACCATTGGTGAGCCTCAAAAACAGGAAGGCCAGATTAGAGTTTGCCAAACGACATCTAAAAAAGCCTTCACAGTTCTGGAACAACATCCTATGGACAGATGAGACCGAGATCAACTTGTACCAGAGTGATGGGAAGAGAAGAGAAGAGTATGGAGAAGGAAAGGAACTGCTCATGATCCTAAGCATACCACCTCATCAGTGAAGCATGGTGGTGGTAGTGTCATGGCGTGGGCATGTATGGCTGCCAATGGAACTGGTTCTCTTGTATTTATTGATGATGTGACTGCTGACAAAAGCAGCCGGATGAATTCTGAAGTGTTTCGGGCAATATTATCTGCTCATATTCAGCCAAATGCTTCAGAACTCATTGGACGCCGCTTCACAGTGCAGATGGACAATGACCCAAAGCATACTGCAGAAGCAACCAAAGAATTTTTTAAGGGAAAGAAGTGGAATGTTATGCAATGGCCAAGTCAATCACCTGACCTGAATCCGATTGAGCATTTCACTTGCTGAAGACAAAACTGAAGGGAAAATGCCCCAAGAACAGTTGCAGTAGAGGCCTGGCAGAGCATCACCAGGGATGAAACCCAGCATCTGGTGATGTCTATGCGTTCCAGACTTCAGGCTGTAATTGACTGCAAAGGATTTGCAACCAAGTATTAAAAAGTGAAAGTTTGAATTATGATTATTATTCTGTCCCATTACTTTTGGCCCCTTAACAAGTGGGAGGCACATATGCAAACTGTTGTAATTCCTACACCGTTCACCTGATTTGGATGTAAATACCCTCAAATTAAAGTGGACAGTCTGCAGTTAAAGCACATCTTGTTTGTTTCATTTCAAATCCATTGTGGTGGTGTATAGAGCCAAAAATGTTAGAATTGTGTCGATGTCCCAATATTTATGAACCTGACTGTATCACTTTATTAAGGACTCTTCTCTTTTCTTCCTCCATC